AGATACTAATCTGGATTCGGAATTAATTTCAGAGAAAACATCTTGTTATTCTTTTTCTTTTAGGTGGCAGAAACAAAAGTGTTCCCAAGATGGTGCAAATCCTACGATAAAATCCGATTCTAAATCGAATAATCTTATAGAAGTACAATGTGAAAATGGAAAGACGATCACTGCGCAGCATGTAATATGTACGTTACCGTTGGGCGTTTTAAAAAGGACAGCTCAGGATTTGTTTGAACCGTCGTTACCTGCTCATAAACTCGATGCGATAGACAGATTGATGTTCGGTACGGTGGATAAGATATTTCTCGAATACGAACGGCCTTTCCTGAATCCCGGTGTATCGGAAGTGATGCTTCTTTGGGACGATGAGCGGTTATCTGAGGCGGAGAAGCGGGACATCAGCAAGACTTGGTTTCGGAAGATATATTCGTTCATCAAGCTTTCGGACACGCTGCTGCTCGGTTGGATATCCGGTCGCGCGGCAGAGTATATGGAGAAACTGAGCACCACAGAAGTGGCAGACGTGTGTACGACAATTCTCCGGCGATTTCTCAACGATCCCTTTGTGCCGGTTCCGAAGACCTGCTTGCGCACCACATGGCAGGCACAGCCTTACACGCGAGGTTCTTACACCGCGATGGCCGTCGGTGCGAGCCAGCTGGATATCAGGAGTTTGGCCGAGCCGCTAGTTCAAGAGAAGACAGAAGGCAAGACGGACGAAACTGCCAGAGTTTTGGTGGCATTTGCCGGCGAACACACTCATTCCTCATTCTACAGCACGGTACACGGGGCGTACTTGACCGGTCGAACGGCAGCTGAATTGCTACTCGGCAAGAAACAGAGCGAGAAGCATACGTTGAGTCTTAGTTGCGAAGACACCAGCGATCTCAGCTCATGGATACAAGGCATTTCTTTGCATTAATGCACAATTTTTTTTTTCTTTTTACGAAAGATACGTTCGTGCGACGATTAAAGACATTGACGGAATGTTCATAGACACATTTAGCGACTCTGTGCGTTTAAGTTTTTTGCGATCACTTTCGTTTTGTAAATAAGTAGTGCGAATCTGCCATCTCTACACGTGTCATGTACATAACGGTGCTTCTTAAAGTTGTAAGACTTCGCGATTACGGATAGGGTATGTATTTATCGTATCGCGTGTTGCTCCGTTTCATCGATAAGCAGCACGGATACAACTAAGATACCAAAATTGTATATTAACGACATCGCACAGTCGATGTATTGTGTGTGTCATAAATATATTCGATGGAGATTTTTACGTTTGAACGTAAGATTATATTGAAAATGACGATAAGCGATATTCTTACATGTTTATGCAAGCGTTTATTTTATAAAGTCGAGCGAATTAATATATGTTATTTGTTAAACTCGTGTAGAGTTATATATTAAATCCAGACGAGTTCACAAGAACAAGCCTAATTTTAAGTATTTGCGTGAGATATAACGATTATTTTTTTGTAGATGTATATATATATATATACATATATGTATATATTATATACATATATACATATATATACAGCGAATTAGTAGTGAGATTTATAAGGAAATTTGAAAGCGTTATATACTTTCTATTAATAATTCGACTTTCTTGTATATGTTCGCTCTCGAATGCGAATTGCTCGCTTGCTTGACTTCTTTATTGTCGTATTACACATCGTATATATAATTTAGTAAAAAGAAAAGTTCCATCATGGATAGCTTGAATCTAGTCATTAAATTTTAAATATATGAAAAAGATGCATTTGATAAGTATTAGCGAATCTTTTAATTCACAAAAGAGAATCACAACCATGTATTAAATGCGATACTGAATCAGTTTCTACAAAGTGCAACGGACATTCATATACGCGTACGTGCGTATTTAACATTTCCGGACACAAATACAGTGCCATAGATCGAACATATTAGCCGAAATATATTGAAATATTAATACTACTCTTAAAATACTAAATAAAGAGAGGATACAAAATGTCTATCTTTTTCAAGTAGTTAAACTATAATACATATGTGAATCTATGGAACTTGTAAAAATAAAAATAATTATTTATTAATAAACGTTGCGTCTCTTCACATTAATTAATAATATATTAATGTACAAGTAATTTAATCATTCCACAAAGGAAAAAATTCTGCAACTACTGTAAGTTTTATTATGTTTGAAAAATTACTAAGTTTTTTATTAAATATTATTTGTGTTAAGATTTTCGTGATATTTTTATTGTTAAAGTTCCACAAACATATTTTAAAGTATTAAATTGCGAAGAGAGGAAGACATTTTAAAAATCTTCTGCCATAAAAACAATTTGGTATTTTAAGAGTTAAAAACGTTTAGGTAAAATGTTAGATACATTTATTTAATTATTTAATAATGCAACGATAAAAACTATTAAGTCAATTTGATCTCGTTTTCACGTTATGATAAATATTTTGAAGGTTTAAGATATTACACTGTTTACTTGAATATCATTGAATATTAATAAATAACAATACAAAGTATAATTGTATATGCGTGTGTTATCACAAAATTATGCATACATTTAAGTAATGAACAAATAATTGCACATTACTCGAAGTATTGCAGCTTTTTGTATTTTAATTTACCCGCTGGGCAAGCAGTATTACCAACATTTCAATTTCAAAATCTCCATTCCACGTACGCCATTTTCGAGTATATTATAATAAAGATGTTGGCAATACTGCACGTAATTCTTTTTCGTTAGATGGCACGCAGAGTTTGGATGTAAAGCGCGAATGCTTTATAATCAGTGACGTTTATTACTTGTAAAAAGGTGAGAATATGTAAATTTTTGTTGCTAGTGCGGAATAAAGTGACAGGTTATTGTCGGAATGCATTATTTATTGCTAATATTCGCGATTTAACGACGTTTCGTCGATCTACACCATGGTATAATCTCAGTGAATACAGCTCTAATGCAGCTTTTGATACGACAGAAGGGGGTGCGCGGTGTACTTTTTATTACATGTAACATCCTAAAAATTCAGCCGGACCTGTAAAACATGATTGTTACGTGTATCTGATAATCTTCGCGTATTGCCAAGATATCAATCGGTGTTCATCTCATTTGCTCTAAAAAAGAGTGCATGGCGGCACAAATGCTTTAATATGATGAAGTTGTATTAATTTGAGGTAACTCAAGGCAGCCAACGTAGTTGGAGATTTATATTGAGAATTATGTTTGACAGTTTAATACCCCTAAGTGTTTGATATACGTAAAAAGTAAATATGGTTAATAAAATAATTAATAATAGCTTATACAATTAGAAAATTGATCAATAAAAATATAGTATTTAATTTTTCATTAGTTGTCAAGATGCATGAATATGTAGATACCTATACAGCACATTGCAGCAAAATTGCAAGAACACTGCAATATGTAGAGGCACACGATTGTACCTGCTTTGCGTAATTCCAGATTAATACAACTTTATGCGTTAAAGTATTTACTGTCTTATATGCAGTATTTTCAGTTAATCTCCGAACATTTAAAGTGCTTAATAATTTGGCTAATTACATATGTAAATACGTTGTGATGTAGAGTGAATTTTTTGTAAGTGCATTGACATGGCGTGACAATTTTACGACGTAAATCCTTGAAAAGCGAAAGTGAAAAGTGAAGTGTGCACAGTTCAGTGTTCATTCAGTATAGTGTATTAACAATAAATATGAACAATAAATATTCTTCGATGGAGTTGGTGTGGAATAACTTGGAGGTGAAATCTGCAGCAATTAAAGCAAACTACAATATTCTAGCTGGTGAGTACAATTATTTGTTCATTATTTAAATATATACATATGTATGTATTTATAATCTGTATTTATTAAGCATGGTTTGGCTCGTATCAAGCTCTCTTTCTCTCTCTAGCCCCCCTCATAATGAAAAAATATATATATAGAATATTCGAATCGAAAAATCGAGTATACCATAATTTGTTGCTATTTTGTTATTTTAGATTAGCGTAAAAACATCGGAAATGTTATTTGAGAAATAGCCTTGTTCATTAAGTATTGCGGTATCAGTGTTTCATAAGAAACGTTTCCAAAATCTTTTCACGCTATCTTAGAACAACAATTTTTTTAAATTGCCAGTATAATTGTTATAGATCATATTTGATGTGTTAAAATTAAAAATCTGGAAATTTTAATTGCAAAAATATTAATATATAAATGATAATTTAAAGTAATTGTAGAATTTATTGTAAATACACGATTACATTTATCCTTACAATTATCATGTTTTTATCAATTGTTCAATCATCAATTTGATTAGATATAAGATCGATTTTTTCTATTTTAAATTCAAATTTAATCAGGCATGTTATGCGCTTCGTTATTTTGTCATAAATATTCTCAGACAGACGAGGGAAATTTCTTCTTACCATTCTGTTTACCTGAAACATATTATTTTAACATTTATTATGATAAAATATTTTCAAATAAATATTTGATTAGAATTTGTCACGACATAAAATTAATTATAAGAATAATGAGGTGCAGATATACTGTGTGACATGATACATATGCACTTAAATAAGTTTTTTTACTTTTGTTGGTACTGCAAAATTTAATAAATGAAAATAATTTTCGAATTTATGTAACTTACCATCCAAAGTTGTTTAATATTATATAAATGATTAATAATAATAATTAATGCTGCGGTTCTCTTGATTTCTCTACAAAAATAAAACAGTAGATTTATAATTAAGAAAAATTTATAATGATGAACGGTATATGTTTAAAAAGAAAATTAATATTACTTGGGTATTGTTGTCTTAAAATTCTTTAGTACAAACTGAAACACTTGTTTATTCGTTATATGCCTTGCAATAATAAAATAAAAAATATGAATACGGTCATTTGGTTCATCAAAATGCGTTTTTGACAATGCTATTATATGCAAATACGTCGTGATGATATGCATATTTTCAGAACAAGCCAAAAATTTGAATAATTTTTCAGGCAAGTGTTTCCATCTATCCAGTAATGTATACCAATCATTATCCTTTACTGTCATTACACCGTAACAGAATGTCCACTCCATTAATCCTGGCACAGGCCTATATTGTCGACAAAAGGTAAATTGCAGATTGCAAAGAATTAGCTTTGACAAATAAGAATTAATTTAACAAATAATTTGTCACATATTTTGCGAGAAAAATGTGACTTTAAAGAAGTCGCAATTTACAAAAAAAAGAAAATTACCAAATCATAGAATTATTTAAGCTTTCTCCTGCAGCCAAATATTGTTGCAATTTTTTGTGAGCCATTTTTTTACATTTGGCATCATTAAGAACACATATCCATCTCATAATTTCGTGTCTTAAAATTATTCTAGAATCGTAAAAAGGATTGTCAGAATTGTTAGAATGATTGTTAGTAGGATCATTATATCCTATCTTTTTAATAACACTATTTAATGTTTGTCTTATTTTTTTCTAAAAATAAAAAAATACTTTTATTAGCTTATTGTGCATGGGTTTTATAAAGTAAACTTTTCTAAAATGGATATTAGTGTATAGATGCGATTTTTATCTTGCAAAATATAAAACTAGAAATCTTCCGCTTTGAAAGTTTCTAACTCTAATATAAATAAGATTGGAAAAATACATGAGTGAATATTTTCACTTATATATAAATTTACATATTTTCTTAGAAATATGTTAAATTGATACTTGATAATCATTTATGTAATATTGATATTTGATTTGTAGTGATCTAAAAACATTTTTGATCGAAAAAATCTAGCTATCTACCTTCATTTTTTTCGTTTGACTCAATGGAAAGGAATACGACAAATATTCAAAAGCTTTGAACATTGGGTACCATGCCACAAAATCTGTCTCTTGCGAAAGGTATTTCAAGACTTGTAAGAATATATTACCACGTACACGTTGATGTAACATAAGATTAAATACGTCATCAACAATTTGAGCACGATTAAGAACATGTATTTCCGTATATTTTTTCGTGTTCAAAAATTTTACAATTTTCTTCCAATTTGTTAAATCATAATTGACGCGATAATATCCTGTAAATTAATAAATTTGATACATTTTTTAGATGTTTTTGGATGGATTCCTTAAGAAATATTTCTTAAAGAATATTTCTATGTATAGAAGAAATATTTCTTCTATAAATCTTTAAGAAAAATTTTGTGTATTTAAAAAACAGAAATGGTTTATCGGAAATTATTATACGTATTATAGAAAGAAACGTAAATTGTAGACTATTTATCATGAAACTCTTTTACTTTTATAATAAAATGTTTAAATAATTGAAAGTTTAATTTTGAAGAATTAAGTTGCGTAAGAAATATCTTATATAAGCAAACTAATTTCGATAAAATAAAATGCAGTTTAAAGTTTAAACTTTTAGTCACAAGCGCGTACAGACATACACACACAAAATAGTTCAGAATAATTTATAAATATTTTTTTGGATACTACTGTTTATATAATGTGAGAAATAACATAGTTTTTTGTAAGTAAATTATAAAAATGTATAATGTTATATACATTCCTAATAGAGCGTAAACACAAAAATATTATAAATTTATTAATCAATACTTACCGATTTGTTGTAAGTTGAGTATTAACCAACCATTTATATTATAGGAATTAAAGTTTAAAGACACACGTTTCTTATCGTACGTATATACATTTAGCCACATGATATTCGTCGAAGTTATGTTGAACTTGGCACTATTTTGAATTGTATAAGTCACAGGTATCATAAACTCTCGTTTGGTTAAAAGAGTTTGGTTATTTAGATTTTCAGGCATGAACGATACTTTCGTGTATCCAGTCTTATAATTTCGATTTACGTCTAGCACAATTGAAGTGTGATACCACATATAATTTTGTAATCTTTTTTTTAAATCAAATTTGCGTACGTAATTTGTCTTATTTAGAGTAGTTTGCATAGCAGTCCAAAAGTCGTCCGAATTTGCTGAGCCAAATTTACTGTAAAAATTCATATTATTTACCTTAAACATTGTATAATAGATTGCATAAAAAAATATGAAACTACTATTTAATTTATGTATGTGTACTAATTTATATGGAACACAAGCACTTGTTATTGACCAATTATTTATTGCATTTGATTTTGAAATATTTAATAATGATATGATAATTACTACTTACTATGTGTTTAAATAAAGTTGAATACCTTGTAGAAAGACTTGTGCCTGTTTGGCAATTATTATATGTTTTAACATGCGAAAAAAAATCGATGCTGAAAACAGTGCATATTATTCATTAAATAAAGTGTTAAAAATATTGGCAGTTGGAAATTTAACGTTAGTAATATTGCTAACATTGCTTTGGCTGTCTGAGTCACATGAAGTATGATTAAAGATTGCTCAATATTATATATTTATTACAGCATCTATATAAATTTAACACCAAACTGGTTGCAGAAGAAAAGTGAACCAAGTCCTTTTTTAAATCCATGTATAAATTAGAAAAAACTGAACAGTTTTTATTAATTTAAAAGAAAATTAAGAATTTTTTTTGTAACTACCTAAACAATTATATAATTTTTGTTGTGATGATTTAAAAGTGAGTGCAAATATTTAAGTTAAAATTAAAAGAAACTATAGCATCTATAAAAAACAGTGTACATGTTGCAAGCAATTAGAATAATTTTAATTTTAGAACTAATTTTTTAACAATTAACAAAAATGGACTCGATTTACTTTTCTTCTGAACCCCTCATATATTAAAATATTTATTATTAATTTAAATTATTTTGCTTCTTTGGTGTATAATTAATAAATAGATCAATTCTAGATAAATTTATTTATCGTTAACTTTTGATTACGTACTAGAATTTATAGAAAATCGTTTAATTATGTTTACTTGATTTTACCTTTGAGATAATAGGGAAAAAAAGAAAGCGAATTAATGTCGGAGGGGCTATTGATTTCTGATATAAAAGGTGGAAGCGTCATAATATATGGATCCAAATTAAGCAAGTCACGATTTTGAACTACGAATAAATCCATTATATGATAATGTGGAAAAAGCTAGAAAAGAAAATTTTTTTGTAATTATATAAACAATCATATAATTTTTGTTGTAATCATATATACGTTTAATAAACATTTGCATTAATCACATGCAATAGCGCTGTCACGAGAGAAGCTTTGCTCCATAAAAAAATACAATAAAATATCTCTTTTTTAATATAATGTATAATATAATTATTCAAAGTTTGACATTCTTAAAACCATTTTAACGAAATTCTTACAAGATTCTTTTGCATTTTTTAAATTAAAACTTATTTTGTGACTGTTTATCTTTATACCTAAAAATTTATAAAAATTGTAAAAAGTCCATAATCATTATTTTAGTTCTGACAAAAAAATTTATTAAAATAATATCAATGTTTTTATTTTTCAATTGCATATATTATAATTAATGCTAAAAATGAACCAACCTCATTGATAGCATCTATGCCATAGAACATTTCTAAACCTTTATTCACCCATTCGTCGGACCACCAAGATGGGCTGACCAGATTACTAAACCATTGACTTGCTACTTGTCGTGCCACTAAGTATGCCACCTCTCTGTCGCGACCAGGGGAGTCTAATGTATTATTGTAGATAACATCTGCTTCACTAAAATTATTTTATAAATAATGCGGTTATATACTTTGTTTATATAAAAATATTAAATATTACATTATTTATTATGGAAGTTTAGTATACTGTATTTTTGCATTGTATATAAACAAAATTATTATATATTACTTGTAACAAATGAGACCCGAATTCTGTATGTTATCTAGGATGCCCGGGATTACAATATGACTTATATTTTGTAATACTTCTTTGATCTTCAATCTGTGTTGCATGTATTGTTTGACTTTTTCAATAATCATTATTGTAAAAGTTAGATCTTTTGTTTTTGTTTGTCTATACTGCACTACAGATTTATTAGAACGTTCAGCAAAGTTGGTAAAACTTTCTGCGGTCAGTATAAGTCCAATGCGATGAGGAGATGTTGGTGGAGTAACGTGGAAAATTGTCCGTTTCCAGTTAACAATGACCTGAGTTCTTTTTTTCAACATATTTGACCAAACTGTATACTCAGAAAAGTGAGTTACAATTAATGTAAACGTTGCCTTCATCGCAGGTTCATCCCAGCATGGGAACACTTGTCGCGCCCCGATCCTTTGGAAATTTGTTACAGTCGCTATCCTATCATGTTTTAATGCAATTAAAATAACAATAAATATATCAATCGTTATTAAGTATGAAAGCCGTCATAGATATATTTTTTAGACTGGGGGAATATATTAATCTTATAATGTATTGATTTTATGTTAAATTTGAGAAAAGGCAGATGAATATTTTTACATTACTATAGTATTACTATATTTCTACTATGATTTTTTGTTATAGCATTATATTTTTTATCAAAAGACATTTGTAATATGTAATATGTACATAATTCAATAAGATTTTTGGCTTCAAAAAATTTAAATTCAAGTATAATAAAACAATGTTTTTTTTAGTTCTAAAATTTGCAATTAAATTTTTCATATCTTTACTTTTTAATTTTAAAGTTTATTTGTTTCTAAAACAGAATCCGTTTTTCTTGATTAATATGGTAATATCTTTAATTATTATAAATATATATATATATTTTGATAAACAATGACATATTGAACTATTTTTTTCATATTTGGTATAATTAAATACAAATGATGTAAGTTTTATATGTGATTTTAAGCCTTTTTATGATAATAGTGGCAGTAGAAATGATTTCTAAGAAATAATAATGAAAAGTGTTTATAGATACGTTTCAATATTTACTCACTCTGTTTTGTTTTCCGTATTTTCAAAAAAAGTTCTATAGAAGACACGTTTGTTGTGAATTGTAAAACCGTCGAATATTATCTTTACAGTGTAAATCCCAGGTCCTAGCTGATCGAGAAAATGAAAAACGATTGTGTCTTCTGTAATGTTCTGCGTAGCACTTGGGAGATGAGTCGCTACGAAGTAATTATCGAACTCCGCCGTAAATATGGACACTGTAGTTTGTAGGTGAATAGTTATATTCCATGTTGAATAAAGAATAAAAATTGTGATATAGCAGGTACCGGTGTAATGAAAATTATTTTTTACATCTTCGAAATATGGATATGGTATTAAGTGGACATTATAGTGCAATGGTACTACGCTGTTCGGCAAACGGTAATTAATTTCGTCGCCGCTATTATTCCCCGAAATTTCACTGGTGAAAAAAAGTGTTGCGATGATAAACATTACACCACCGTATAGTAACATTTTTAAGCATGCTGATCCAATTTTCGTTTTTAGTATCTGTAAGAATGTTTTTTTGCTGAAGAATACAAATAAAATGGAGTAAAATATAATATAAAAATTATAATCTAGAATATAAAGATTCCAGTAAGTTATAATGAGCAAGCAGAAAATTTTTTGTTACGATATGTAAAATAATAACGAATAAACTGTTTTGATAGATTTCGAAAAAAACAGTTTGGATGAAAAATAACGTGCGTTTATTTCACCGAATAAGCTTTGAAGTGTGATATTAAAAACATAACACTTGAATGTCTTCTTTTTGACAATAGAAAAAGTAATGTATTATTATTATTTAAATTTTAACCGATCCTGAGGGACGAACGTTCATGATGTATATAATTTTTATTTAGCACAAGCTTTTTTTTTTTAAATTTTCAAAGTCATTAATAATTTTTTGAACAGACTACATATTTTAACAGTTTAAAATATTGTAATAGGCAGTACAAATCTCTACTATCTTTTTGTTTCACTTTATATTTCTAAATTTGAAAACATTTTAACACGATATATTAGTTTAACACACACTTGAAATAGTTTTCATATTAAATAAGTACAGAAATCCGTAATTTTATTGAAAAGAACAATAGTATGATAACCCGATAATTTTGAAGATAATGAACTTTGAGAAATATTTAGCAGTCCGTTATTTTGATATTTTGAATCGATTAAATATTAATTTTACAAATTTTTTTGTATTTTTAAAGAAAAATATACAAATATTCTGTAATTTTACATTGAAATTATGTGCTTCTTGGAATTGAAATTATTTATAATAATTAATTGTAATTAATGGAATGTTGTCTCACCAATTGTCAGTGTAAGAAATATTATGTATCTATGATCTTACCATTTCGAAGTATCACTACAGACTAACGATAACGTTTCAGATCGACACCGTTATAAACACGTATCAAATAAATAATTTTTAAAATCGTATGTAACAGATATTCAGTTAGTCAAGAAAGATAATCAAATAGGAATATATGGTTAAATAGGCTTGTGGTATTTTTACATTTAAAGCAATTGTTTTTATCAAGAATACAAACTGCCAAACAATTGTGTTTTTTATATTTTATTCATTTTCGGCGTCACATTTTTTTTCTAATTATCATGATTTACAGAACACTGTATAAAATCTTTTTATTTATCAATACAATTGCTATGTATCCTATTTTGACAATCATTTCGACGGATCATATTTCCGACTATATTACTAATTTCATATCAGATTTAATGTGTTAACGTAATAAGCTGGAAATTTTAATTACAAAAAATATTTTTATAAGAGTAATAATATAAAGCAATGCAATTGAACTTATGGCACATTTATGCGTTACAATTATTTTATTAATTGTTCGACCATTTGATAAGATTGGCTTCCACCAATTTGCGTTTCAATTGATATATACGTATGATGCGCTTAAATACCTTATCAAGAACAACTGAAGGAGAAAATAAATTATGTAAATCGTTTTTTACGAAGACGTTTAGCTAAAACATATTAATTTTACATTTATCATTATTTAGCTTTTTTGCAAATATTAGATAAGAATTTGTTGAAAATAATTTGTAATTACAAGCTTAATAAAGTGAAGATATACTGTGCGACATAATACATATATAAATAAATAAATAAGATTACTACTGCGAGATTAATTAGTGAATATTAGTGATTTTTAAATTCATTAAACTTACCTGCATAAGTTGACTCACGTTATATAGATGGTTAATAACAAAAATTAATGCTGCAGTAGTACCGACTTCTCTACAATAACAAAATAGCAAATTTATAATTAACGAAAATTTATACCGTAGAATGGTACTTTTTTGAAAAGAAAAATATCATTACTTGGGTATTATTTTTTCAAAATTCTTTTCTATATAGTCCAATACTGCATTATCATTTACACGTTTGGCAACAATAAAGTAAAAACTATGAATGCGGTCCTTGGCTGTAAAATATGTTTCTGACATTAGCATATCCAAATATTGCTTGGTGATAGTAGAATTTTCGGTGCAAGCCAAAAATTCTAACAGTTTAGTGTTAGATGTGTATTGCCATATATTCAGTATCTCATGCCACATATCATTTCCTGCTATCATTATGCCATTACAAATTGTCCATCTTTTTAATCTTGGCACAGACCTATTTTATGGAGTAAATGTGAAATATATGTTAGAAAGATTTAGCTTATATTAGCGTGCATCTTAAATAATTTATCATATTTTGCACGAGATAAAAGAAAAATATTGTTTTAAAAATATCTTGATACATTACCTAGATACATTAGACCAAGACTGCTTTGAAAGATTTATTTTAATAATGTGATTCAGCAATATTTTGTAGACCTTTTCTTTACATTTGGTGACATTGAGAACACATGCCCATCTTCGAATTTCGTGTCTTAAAATTATATTAGAATTATAAAAAGAATTGTTAGAAAGATCTTTCTGGAGAGGATCATCGTATCCTATCATTTCAATAACACTATTCAACGTTTTTCTCATGTCTTCCTAAAAATAATATAAAAATATTACATATTAGTTAATGCATATAGTTTATTTAGGTTTTATAAAGTGAGCTTTTTTTAAAATTGATAATGCATCTCTAATATAAATGAAATGTGTATCATATGCATGTCATCTGATAATTATATATAAAATATCAAAGTTTTATAGGAATAATTTAATAAAAATGTTGATGGAAAGAGTCTAAAACCATCTACCTTAATATTTTCCATTTTTGGAAATGGAAAAGCATACGACAAGTATTCAAAAGCTTTGAACATAGGATACCATGCCACAAAATTTGTTTCTTGCGAGAGGTAGTTCAAGAGTTTCAAAAACAAAGTAGCAGCATAATCATGTGTTTCAGCGCACGTCAAAAAGAGGCATAATTTTGAGGTTTGCACAAGATGAAACATGTCATCGATGAGTTGAGCGCGATTGAGAACATGAATTTTCGTATAATCCTTTGTGTTCAAGTATTCTACAATTCTCTGCCAATTTGTTACATCATAATTGACGCGGTAATATCCTGTAGAATAATAAATTTTATACATTTTTGGATGTTTTTGAATGGATTCACCAAGAAATATTTTTTAATTTTTGCATTTTTTAAACTCTGCACAATCAAAAAACAAAAATGATTTATCGGAAATTGTGCGTATTATAGAGGAGAATGCGATTTGTAGATAATTTATTAGAATTATTTTACATTTGTAATAAAATTTTTAATTAATTGAGAGCTTAATGCATAACTGTATAAGAAATTTGATATATACGTAAATTATTTTACATAAATGATGATCAAATTATGTGAAGAATAAAATATAGTTTGCATTTTTAGCTACAAATGGAATACGCACATACACACAAGTATAGAATACTTCATATAACATTTTATTGCATACTATTGTTTGTATAATGTATGAAATGTCTTTGTTTTTTAGAAATAAATTGTAGAAATATAACATAATGTTGTATACAAGTTTTAATTCAGAGTAAAGACAAAAATATTATAAATTTATTAATAACATACCGATTTGTTGTAAATTGAGTATTAACCAACCATCTGTATCATTCGAATGAAAGGTTAAAGGCAAAGATGATTGGTACTCGTTTTCGTACATGTTCACCCACATGATGTTCGTGGGCGAAGTTATGTCAAAGTTGATATTATTTTGAGTTGTGTAAGTCACAGGTATCCTAATGTTTTCTATATCGATGTGAAAATCGCAGTTTAATATGTCATATTTGATTGATACGGTTGTATTTCCAGTATCATAATCTCGGTTCACCTCCACCGTAATACAAGTGTAGTGCCACATACATTTAAGTAAGTTTTCTCTAAAATTGAATTTGTGTGCATGATGTGTTTTTTTCAGGGCAGTTTGCATAGCATTCCAGAAATCGTCAGAAGTTGCCGAGCTAAATTTACTAAATTTGTAAAATTCAATATTATTCATAATAAATACGGTATAATGGATTGCATCGAAAAATATATAAAACACTATTATTTAATTTATATAATATATATAGTATACAATATTATATTTTCTACGGATAAAGTTATTAGTAATTAATTAACCCCTATATTTACCACATTTAATTCTGCAGCATTTAATAATGATACAACAGTTACTACTTACTGCGTGTTGAAATAGATGTGAACACCGTCTTCAAATACCTGCTCGGTAATCACAAGTTGCAACGTGCGTAAAAAAGCAGATGCTGAAAACAGTATGCATCAGCTAATAAGCAAAATGTTAGCAATGTTAACAAATGTTAGTAGTTTGTTCGACTACTGATATTATTAATTTTTGTTATTTTGTTTTGTTATTTATTTTTGTTTATATAAAGTATGATTAAACATATACTTATTACATTGTTTATATAAATACTTAAACACAATATATAAATACTTACACACAAAACTGGTCACGTACTATTATTAATTTTTTACTTCAATTATTTTCTTTTAATGCAAAATTAATAAATAGAGTTTTAAATAAATTTATTTATCGTTAACGTTTGATTATGTTATGAAATTTATGGAAAATCGTTTTGTTATATTTACCTTTGAGATAATAGGGAAAAAGCGAAAGCGAATTAATATCAGTGGGACTATTGATTTTTGACATAAAAGGTTTTTTCCTCATATGTAAGTCCAAATTGAGCAAGTCACGATTTTGGACTATAAATAAATCCATTATTTGATGATCCGGAAAAAGCTAGAAAAGAAAATTTTTGTGTAAATATATAAGTATTTAAGAAACATTTGCATTTGTCACATGAAATGGCGCTATCACTTGCGAGAGAAGCGTTTCTTCGATCATTTATAATAAAATTATAATAAAAACTTTTTTTTAAGGTAATGTGCACTTGTTTAAAGTTAAACATTAACTATTGTCGAATTTTTCCAAAATTTTTTCGCAATTTTTAAATTTAAACGTTTTATGATTTTTTATCTTTATTCTTGAAATTTTATGAAAATTGTAAAAAGTCCATGTTTATTTCGGTTCTAAGAAAAATGTTTATAAAAATGATACCAATGCTTTCATTTCTTAATTACGTATGAAAACAACCTTATCGATAGCATCCATGCCAAGGAACATAGTTAAACCTTCATTTAACCACTCGTCGGACCACCAAGATGGGCTGACCAGATTACTAAACCACTGACTTGCTACTTGTCGTGCCACTAAGTATGCCACCTCTCTGTCGAGACCAGCGGTTTCTAATGTATTACTGTAGATAACATCTGCTTCACTAAAATTATTATGTAAATATAGCGGTTATATGCTTTTGTTTTCAAAAATCTTAAATGTTATCTCATTTATTTCACGAAAGATCACGACTTTCAAAATATCAACTATCTCTAGTAGTCGCTTAGCGAACGGAATGAACAAAATTCCGTGTACTATAATTTTTATATAATGATTTCTATAATGAAAATTATTATATATTACTTGTAACAAACGAGTCCCCAATTCTGAATGCTATTGTCTATGAGACCCGGAATTATTGCATAATCCATCTTTGGAATCATTTCTATGATCTTCCATTTCGATTTTAAGTATGTTGTGACATTTTTGATAATCATTTTTGCAAATGTTAGATCTTTTTCTATTGTTTTTTTATTACGTCTATAATGTACTGTAACATTGTTGATGATATTGTCCCTGAAACTATTTTCGGTGAATAAAATTCCAATGCGATACGGGGATATTGGTAAAGTAGTGTGGAAGTGGTCTATCGTCCATTCAAAATCTTCTTCTTCTTCTTCTGTCAATTCTATCGGCATATTTGAACAACTCATATACCCAGGATAATAAGTTACAGAAATCATAAATGTTGCTTTCATTGCTGGTTCATCCCAGCACGGGAACACTTGTCGCGCCCCAATCCTTTGGAAATTTGTCAGAGTCATCAACCTGTCATATTTTGAAACATTTAAAGTGACGAATATATGAACTATTTTTGTATGAAAGAAGCCAGTTTTTTGTGCGCTGGAAAATATACTAATCTTGTGGTTTATTAATCTTATGTGACAAATTAAAAAAAAAGAAAAAGTAATAATTTACAACCTACATTACAATATTATTCCTAGTTTTTACTATAAAACATTTATCATTTTTTGCATCAAAAATTCTTAATCTTACTTATGATATGCTTAAGTTTTCTAGATTTAAAGTTAACTTTTTTAATGAGAAAAGCAGGTATCTTTAAATTGCTATATCAGTATATTTAATTATAATAAAGGAACGTGTAATTATTCGTGTATATTTAGATATAAAATAAATTTTTGCATGCTGTTGGTAAACTATAAATAAGTTAAGTCTGTGTAAGTTTTATGTTTTATAAAGCTTTCTTGTGATCATGATGATAATAGTGGAAATAATTTTTAAGAAATAATGAAAAGTTATTTATATAATAATTATGTGCGTTTTAACGTTTACTCACTCTGTAAAATTTTTTCTGTTTTTGTAACGAGTTCTAAAGAAGACCTGGTTGTTATCATTTGCAATTCCAGAAAAGTTTATTGTCAGAATATAAATCCCAGGTGACATCTCATGGAAGAAATAAAGAACCATTGTGCTTTTTGCAGCGTCGTACGAAAAAACCGCATGCAAATAAGTTGCAATGAAGTAATCATCTATTACTGCTGTCTGTAGTTCTATTATATTATCGAGATGAAAGGTTGCGTTCCATGTTGAATAAAGAATGAAGAGAGTGATGCTGCAGGAACCATTGTATGAAAAAGTTTTCTCCGTATATTCGATAATTGGCATCAATTTGATTGTATAGTGCAATGGTATTATGTGATTTGGTAAACGGTAATCAATTTCATCATCCTTGGTCTCCCATCCCGGAATTTCACCGGGAAAAAAAAGTGTTGCAACGATAAACATTAGACCACCATTTATTAACATTTTGGCGAATGCCGATCCAATTTTCGTTTCTGATATCTGTAAAAATGTTTCTTTGCTGAAGGATACAAGCAAAATACAACGAAATAAAAATTATAACGTGAAATAGAAAGATTTCAGAAAATTATAATAGAATGGATAAGCAGAGAATTTGTTACGAAATGTAAAAGAGAAAGAATAAACCGTTTCGATAGTTTTAAGAAAATAAATTTACATAAAAAGTAACATACGTCTATTGCGTTATACACGGAGAAAATTTTGTATCAAAAATTACTATGTACGGCAGTAACCGCGGACCATGAAGTCGCAGACCCAAAATTTTTACAATGTTTTACATGTGAAAAACTTTTTATAATTTCTTCATGGTCCGCAGCTACTACCGTACATAGTAATTATTGATATAAAATTTTCTCCGTGTAGATTTACGTATTCATGAACTGCTCGATTTAGAAATATATTTTATGATCTTACCATTTTGAAGTATCACTACAGACTAACGACAACGATTCAGATCGACAACGTCATAAACACGTATCAAATAAACAATTTCTAAAGTCATATGTAACAGATATTTAGTTACTCAAGAAAGATAATCAAGTAGGAATAGATGGTTAAATAAGCTCGTAGTATTTTTCCATTTAAAGCGATTTTTCTGATCAAAAATATAAACTGCCAAACAATTATGTTTTATATATTTTATTCATTTTCGGCGTGTCATTTTTTTTCCAATTGTCATGATTTACAGAACACTGTATAAAATCTTTTATTTGTCAATACAATTGCTATGTATCCTATTTTGACAATCATTTCGACGGATCATATTTCCGACTATCTTACTAATTTCATATCAGATTTAATGTGTTAACTTAATAAACTGGAAATTTTAATTACAAAAATATTTATATAAGAGTAATAATATAAAGCAATGCAATAGAACTTGTGGCAAATTTATGCGTTACAATTATTTTATTTTATTAATTGTTCGACCATTTGATAAGATTGGCTTCTACCAATTTGCGTTTCAATTGATATATACATATGATGCGCTTAAATATCTTATCATAAACAAATGAAGAAGAAATTAGTTGACGTAAATTGTTTTGTACAAAGATGTTTAGCTAAAACATATTAATTTTACATTTATCATTATTTAGCTTTTTTGCAAATATTAGATAAGAATTTGTTGAAAATAATTTGTAATTATAAGCTTAATAAAGTGTAGATACATTGTGCAACATAATACATGTATAAATAAATAAATAAGATTACTACTTCGAGATAAATTAGTGAATATTAGTTATTTTTAAATTCATTAAACTTACCTGGAAAAGTTGATCCACGTTATATAGATGATTTATAATAAAAATTAATGCTCCAGTAGTACCGACTTCTCTACAATAACAAAATAGCAAATTTATAATTAACGAAAATTTATACCGTAAAATGGTACATATTTGAAAAGAAAAATATTATTACTTGGGTATTATTTTTTCAAAATTATTTTTTATATAGTCCAATATTTCATAATCATTTACACGTTTTGCAACAATAAAGTAAAAACTATGAATGCGGTCCTTGGCTGTAAAATATGTTTCTGACGTTAGCATATCTAAATATTGCTTGGTGATAGTAGAATTTTTCGCGCAAGCCAAAAATTCTAACAGTTTATTGTCAGATATGTGTTGCCACGTATTCAGTATCAGAGACCACGTATTATTTTCTGCTATCGTTATGGCATTACAAATTGTCCATTCTTTTAATCCTGGTACAGACCTATTTGATGAAGCAAATGTGATATATATGTTAGAAAGATTTAGTTTGTATTAGCGTGCCTGTTAAATAATTTATCATATTT